AAATCACTGCAGATGGTGACTGCAGCCATGAAATTAAAAGACGCTTACTCCTTGGAAGGAAAACTATGACCAACCTAGATAGCATATTAAAAAGCAGAGACATTACTTTGCCAACAAAGTTCCATCTAGTCATAGCTTAAGTTTTTCCAGTAGTCATGTATGGATGTGAGAGTTGGACTATAAAGAAAGCTGAGCACCAAAGAATTGATGCTTTTGAACTGTGGTGTTGTAGAAGACTCTTGAGAGACCCTTGGACTGCAAGGTGATCCAACCAGTCCATCCTAAGGGAAATCAGTCCTGAATGTTCATTGGAAGGACTGATGTTAGAAGCTGAAACGCCATTATTTTGGCCACCTGATGTGAAGAGCTGACTTATTGGAAAAGACCTTGATGCTGGGAAAGATTGCGGGTGGGAGGAGAAGGGGATGACAGAAGATGAGATGGTTGGAAAGCATCACCAACTCAATGGAGATGAGTTTGAGTAAATGCTGGGAGTTGGTGATGGACAGGGAGGCCCTAACATCCATGGGGTTGCAAAGAGTCAGACACCACTGAGCAACTGAACTGATGAACTGATGGTTCCACTTGTTTTTAACATCCTCTTAGGGCATTACTGTGTACCCCATCCTGAGCTCTGCCCTCCAAGACCCACGCCACTTTGAGAAGCCAAATGCCTTCTATCCTGGCCACTTCCTGGATGCGCAGGGCAACTTCAGGAGGCCAGAAGTCTTCATCCCATTCTCCATGGGTAAGTCATGCTCTTTCTTCCCCATGAAAGTGCCTGCTCACTCACGCTCTGTGTGTGACTTTCTTTCTTGATCCAACTCCAAACACCAGGTGAACGTTTTGGGGAAAAAATGACAATTTTGAAGGATAGAGAAAGACATCTACAGAGTCAAAGATAGTGTGAAGGGGAAAAGAAGGGATGAGGTATGATGAAGGAGGAAGATAGAGACTCAGCGACAGAGATAAAGTGGCAGCACAGACACACACTTGCACACTCAAAATAATAGACAAATAAATGATCCATTACCAAGCACCTGTTATGTGCTAAGATCAGGGAAAGGCATTTCCCACATTTTCTCTGAAAATTAAAATAACCATTATCTTTCTAATTTATACAAAGCAAGAAAGAATAAAATTCAATTTGAAAATCACCTGTAACTTACCACTCAATCAGACTTATTAATAACAGAAGATGTCCTTTTATTAGTATGTATACAAACACAAAGGTTTATATGGATAGGTAGTAGGTAGATAAATAGGTACATACTTGTATACACAGATAGATATGTAGACAATAGGTAAGAAAATGAAAGAATAGTAAAAAGAAAGGAAGATTCAATGATTTATTTCTCATTTGTCAATGGTTAATCCAAGCCATGGACTAGTGTGAGGTTCAGAAGGCACTTAAAGAACAGAGATTTAAAGAATATTCATTCTTGGATTTGCATGTGTGCCCTGATTCAATCAGGTTTCCCATGTGGTTCAGTGGTAAGAAATCCACCTGCCAATGCAGGAGACACAGTTTCGCTCCCTAGGTCAGGAAGATCCCCTGGAGAAGGAAAGGGCAACTCGCTCCAATATTCTTGCGTGGGAAATCCCAAGGACAGAGGAGCCTGGTGGGCTACAGGCCATGGGGTCACAAAAGAGTCAGACACAACTGGGCAACTATACAACAAAACTTAATTCAATCATCTATAAGATAATTCAACTTTTAGTCACTGACTTGAACTTTATCATATCAAAAAATTTCAATCTGAGTAGATCTAATTCTGGTTCATTTACTGATCTGTCTTTCTATCTATATAATACTGCTTGACTATTTCTACCCAAGAAATACATTTTAATATTTTACAGTTGCTAGTCTCTCTGTATTACTCCTCTTCTATAGATAGTTTTATGGTTATTTTAAACATATTTTGTTTTTCTTCCAAGTGTCCTTTGGAATTATTTTGTCAAAGTCTCAAAAACTCCCCCTGGAATTTTATTAAGATTAACCTGAATTTGTAGTTTACATTGAATAACTTTGACAGCTTTACAAATTTGAATAACTTTGATAGCCCAGTCAAGAAGAAGGGCTTCCCAGGTGGCTCAATGGTAAAGACTATGCCTGCCAATGCAGGAGACACAGGTTCAACTCCTTGGTTGGGAAGATCCCCTGAAGGAAGAGATGGTAACCCACTCCAGTATTCTTGCCTGGGAAACTCCATGGACAGAAGAGCCTGGCAGGCTACAGTCTGTGGGCTCACAAAGAGCTGGACACGACTGAGCGCACACACAGTCAAGAAGATAACATTTCCTTTGAATCAACTCTATATCAGTTGAATTTTTTTTTAAACTATGTTTTGAATACTTCTAGCTAGATTTATTCCTAAGAAACATGAGAAGAGATTGTTGCTATTGTTGATATAACCTCTTTGTCAGCTCAGGCTGCCATAATAAAAGGCTACAGACTGGGTGGCTTACACAACAGAAATTCGTCTCCTCATATTTCTGGAGGCTGGAGGTCTTTTCTCAGAGAGCCAGCATGGTCAAGTTCTCGTGGGGTCTGTCTTCTGGCTCACACACGGCAGCCATCTTGCTGTGACCTCACGTGGTAGAATGAGGGCTTTGGTATTACTTCCTCTTCTATAAGAACTCAATCCCTTGGAATTGTTTTTACCACATGAGAGCATTCTTCCTCCTTGCCTCCCTCCATTCCTTCCTTCCTTTCTTCCTCTCTAGTAGCGTTTTCTTCTGATTATAGAGCTAACGTATTGTTGAAAGTTTAGAGAATACAAAACGGTATAATTTTTAAACAAACAAACAAACAAGAACACTATTCCCTCATGGAGGCCTAAGGAACTTTTCTAATGAGCTTATCTAAACTTTATGGGCTTCTCAGATGGTGCTAGTGGTAAAGAACTTGCCTGCCAATGCAGGAGGGGTAAGACACAGATAGATTCAATCCTTGGGTTGGGAAGATCCCTAGGAGGAGGGCATGGCAACCCACTCCAGTATTCTTGCCTGGAGAATCCCATGGACAGAGGAGCCTGGTAGACTACAGCCCATAGGTCGCAAACAGTCCATCAAAATGGAAGTGACTTAGCAAGCATGCATGCAAACCTAATAACCAGACTTTGCTGATGGTTGAGTGGTTAAGACCTCAGACTCCCACTGCAGCGGGCATGGGTTCCATCCCTGGTCAGGGAGCTAAGATGTCACACACTGTGAGGGGCAGCCAAAAAGAGAAGATCAACCCAATTACTTTCTAAGATCCTTTCTTCAAATACCATTGAGTTGGAAGTTAAGGCTGCAACATATAAATTCTGAAAGGACACAATTAATTTGACAGCAATTTTTTTGGTGTAGTATTTTAAATTTTTAGAATAGGTATATCAGAAATCCATTGGTATTTTGAAATGTATATTTCTGTCAGAACCGGACAGTTTCCTTATATTACTTTTATAAGTAACCATTTTTCATTCTCTTGGGTTTTCCAAATAATTGGTGTTAGCATCTGCAAATGATGATATTTTGACTTTTCTGTTTCTTATGTTAAAGTCACATGTTTTCCCTAATATCATGAACTAGCACCTCTGGAATCATGTGAAGTAATAGTAGTGACAGAAAAAGTAGTGACTTTTTTTTTTTTTTTTAGTTCTACCACTTTATTGCTACCAACCCATCTCCCTCCACCCTCGTGCACACATGCTCAGTCATGTAACCCCATGGACTGCAGCCCGCCAGGCTCCTCTGTCCATGGACTTTTCCAGGCAAGAATACTGGAGTGGGTTGCCATTTCTTCTCCTTGACTTCTAACTTTAAGGAGAATATTTTTATTTTCTCTCTTAAGCTTAATGATGGCTATGATCTATTTCAGATATTTTATGGCTGTTCTAACATATTTCATTGTTCAGTCAATAAGTCATGTCTGACTTTTTATGACCCCTGCAGCATGCCAGGCTTCCCTGCCCTTCATTATCTCCCAGAGTTTGCTCAAATTCATGTCCATTGAGTCAGTGATCCTACCATATATTTTTCTCAATTCTATTCTCTTTTTTGGCCACAATGCACATATTGTGGGATCTTAGATCTCTGCCTGGGAATTGAACCTGTGAAAATGCGGAGTACTAACCACTGGACTGCCAGAGAAGGTCCCAATTTTTCTCAATTCTAAATGAAATTAAGGAAAGATCTTTTTAATCTCTATTTTACAACAAGCTTTTATTTTTTGAAAAATTTGATCAGGATGTTATATTGAGTATTAATAATCTTTTCAGGCCCTGTCAATATGATCAAGTTGCTTTTCTCCTTTGATGTCTGAGTGTTGACTCATTCTCTCTCTTATAGAATTGGAAAAAGAGAGGCTTAGGGTCCAGGGGACTTGCCCAAGCCCCTGTAGAAAGTCATGATCTACGGAGGTCAGGGCAGGGCTAAGCTGTGATAAACTTTCTGAACATCTCAGCAACTTAAAGCCAAAAGATTGTTTTCCTGGTCATGCAACATGCCCATCCCAGACCATCACAGTGGTGTAGAAAAAGGAGTTAACGAGGACTCTATCCTGAAACAGGAAGACAGGGGGAAAACAGCGTGACATGTATAAGTTTAGCCCTCACTTCATGGGACTAAGAAAATCCCATCCAAGTTCAATGTAGCTGAGACGGTATACACCCAGAGGTGATCTATGAATAGCTTATGAAGCATAGTGAACTTAGCCATACACACAAGGCAGCTCTCTGTGCTCTTTCCTTCTCATGAGACTGCGGGTCAACAGGATATAGTGGAAACTCTAGCCCAGCCCAGGAGCATGCTGGCCTCACCCTTGGTTATTTCAGTGGACACAGCCTGTGCTGAAGTCCGTGGATACTTAGGGCTCCACCTCGATGGGACAATTTGTGATGGTCAACCTCATCATGCAGGAAGATACGAGTAGGTGTTATTAGATTCAGAAAAATGGGGGCAAAGGTGGACAGAATGCTATTCAAATCTTTATAAGCATGAAGTGGGCATGACCAGTCAGAACCTCCACAGGTTGGGGTGTGGGGATTGGGTCCAGGAGGCTGACTTTGTTGGCTGCTGATTGTGGGCAGGACCAAGGAGCTGGGAGGAGGGTCAAGATGGCCAGAAAAGTGAGGACACTGAGAAGCTTAGAGCAAATGATCAGATGTAGGTCAATATTTGATCAGCCAGGTGCCCACCTACTCCAGGATAGGCCAGAAGTTTCAGCTCCCCTGAACCCCTCTCTCATGGTCTTCATACCTAGAACATACTGCCACAGATTTCTCTAGCATTTTCACATTTTTTTCCTCATAAATTGGCTTAGTTGACAGTATACTTAACAAGAGACACACAGAAAATGAAAGAACTTGAGACACAAAAGGACTTGGTACCAGGAGGGACAGAGAAGGGCACTGTACTGGATAATCCTAGAGGAAGCAGAACTGAAATACGAGATAGAAATGTGCAAACACTGCTCACCCTACGGCCGCCCCCACTCTCAGCCCCTACTGATGTTGTTGGTGTTGTTGGTACTGAGGACAAGAATAGGATCAGAACACCTCACATGTAAATCTATGTAAATGAACATGCCAATATCCTGGGGTTTCAGGGAGTGGGGCAACCAAGTGTTCTCAAGTTCAGCTTCATGTTGATGAACTTTTACTTTTTGCTTGTCACCATCTACTCTGCACACCCCTGCCCTCCTCCTTTTTCTAGTTGAAGTAGCCAATTCAGCCCTCAATTTCTGTGCTGTGTGACTCCAAAATAGCTCCCCTAACCTCTCTGATCTTATCCTCCAATGATACTCCCTCCCTTACACCCGCAGGAAAACGCCTCTGTCTGGGTGAGAGCCTGGCCCGCTCAGAGCTCTTCCTCTTCTTGACCTCTCTGCTGCAGAACTTCTCCTTGGGGTCTCCCAAGGCCCCTGAAGACATCGACCTCACGCCCAGGGAGAATGGGCTGGGGAGAGCGCCCCCTGTGTTCCAGGTCCGCTTCCTGCCCCGCAGAGGAGGGGGAGGGCAAGAAGAGGAGCAGATGTCCTCTGAGTCCTTGCATCTGGCCCCTGACTCTGACTGGAATTAACACGTGCAGGCTCCACCCTGCTCCACCACTTTCTCCTGTGGAAAGTCCCTTTTGTGGTCTCTCCATCATCCAGCCTGCTGTAGTCGCCACTCATCCCTAGATGGCCTACACTGTTGACTGAGGATATTTCAGGGTCAAGAAATACAGGCTGGACTTCCCTGGTGGTCCAGTGGTAAAGAATCCAGCTACCAGCGCAGAGGACATAGATTCAGTTCCTGATTTGGAAAGATTCCACATGCCATGAGGCAACTGGGCCTGTGTGTCTCAGCTACTGAAGCCCTTGCTCTAGAGCCTGGGCTCCACAACAAGAGAGGCCACTGCAATGAGAAACTCGAGTAGCGCAGTTAGAGAGTAGTCTCCGATCACCACAACTAGAGAGAAAGCCCACATGCTGCAACAAAGATCCAAGTGCAGCTGAAAACAAACAAATAAACAAAATTTTAAAAAAAGAATTAGCTTCAATAACTTAGTGTTACCACCATCCCTAGAACAGTTAGGGTAACTAAGGCCCCAGAGGAGGGCAAGATTTAGACCCAAGCTTACCCAGAACAGCAGCATCAGCACAGGTCTCCTGCCTCCCTCCCCTTGTCTCCATCTACTCTGCATACCCCTGCCCTCCTCCTCCGTTGAATTGAAATGGCTAATTCAACCCTTAACTTCTGCACTGCATGACTCCAAAATACCTCTTACCTCCCTGATCTTATCCTCCAAAACCAGTGAAACCAAAATAAAATTCTGTTCTTTCTGGACAATGGCTATCCGTGCTGCCTGTCTCTCTTTTTAGGTCAAATTCGCATATTGTAACATTAACCACAGCTATTTTAAGGTGTACATTTCTTTTATATTTTGTCCTACCTCCTTTCGAAGACAATGGGCTGCTTTTCTGGGCGCCTGATGTCCTCTGCTAGCGATCAGAAGTTGTTTTGTACACATGAAAAGATGCTCAACATCACTCATTATCAGAGAAATGCAAATCAAAACCACAATGAGGTACCATTATACGCCAGTCAGGATGGCTGCTATCCAAAAGTCTACAAGCAATAAATGCTGGAGAGGGTGTGGAGAAAAGGGAACCCTCTTACACTGTTGGTGGGAATGCAAATTAGTACAGCCACTATGGAAAACAGTGTGGAGATTTCTTAAAAAGCTGGAAATAGAACTGCCATATGACCCAGCAATCCCACTTCTGGGCATACACACCGAGGAAACCAGATCTGAAAGAGACACGTGCACCCCAATGTTCATCGCAGCACTGTTTATAATAGCCAGGACATGGAAGCAACCTAGATGCCCATCAGCAGACGAATGGATGAGGAAGCTGTGGTACATATACACCATGGAATATTACTCAGCCATTAAAAAGAATTCATTTGAATCAGTTCTAATGAGATGGATGAAACTGGAGCCCATTATACAGAGCGAAGTAAGCCAGAAAGATAAAGACCATTACAGTATACTAACACATATATATGGACTTTAGAAAGATGGTAACGATAACCCTATATGCAAAACAGAAAAAGAGACTCAGATGTATAGAACAGACTTGTGGACTCTGGGAGAAGGCGAGGGTGGGATGTTTCAAGAGAACAGCATTGAAACATGTATATTATCTAGGGTGAAACAGATCACCAGCCCAGGTTGGGTGCATGAGACAAGTGCTCGGGCCTGGTGCACTGGGAAGACCCAGAGGGATCGGGTGGAGAGGGAGGTGGGAGGGGGGACCGGGATGGGGAATACATGTAAATCCATGGCTAATTCATTTCAATGTATGACAAAAACTACTGTAATGATGTAAAGTAATTAGCCTCCAACTAATAAAAATAAATGGAAAAAAAAAAAGAAGTTGTTTTGTGCAGTTTGCTCAGCGTTAAAATGTTCTTTCGATGAATTTGTATGGGAGAAAATGGTCTCCCCGTCCTATTCCTCCTCCATCTTAGCTCCTCCCTCTAAGGTGTACATTTCAATGGCACTTAGTACAATCATAATGTTGTGTAAGGATCAATTCCATCTATTTCAAAACATTTTCATCATCCCATAACAAAACTCCATCCTGCTAAAATATGTCAGTCTCCAGTTCTCTCCTCCCACTGACCCCCAACAACCATTAGTGTGCTTTTTTTTTCACATGAATTTACCTATTCTGGAAATTTCATATAAATAGCATCATACAGTAAGTGATTGTCTCTGGGTCTTTCATTTAGCTTAATGTTATCAGGATTGAATCATACTGTAGCAGGTATCAGTACATCATTCGTTTTATGGCCAAAGAGTATTCCATTGTGTGGAAATACCACACAATGTGTATTTTGTGTGTTCCCTCACCAGTTGATTGACATGTGGGTTGCTTCCACCTTTTGGGTGTTGTGAATGGAGCTGCTAGGAACATTCGAGAACAGGGATGCCCTGTTTTTGTTTTACTATCTATGAGGGTAATGGAAGGAAGGTGTTCTTCACTTTTTAGTCTCTTCCCGTTTCGTTTGATGATTTTCTTTTGGGTTGTGCTTATATTCCTTTCTTTCTAGGTTTTTTTTTTTTTTTGTATCTATTATAGGCTTTTAATTTATTGTTATCATGGAGTTCCTATATATTGACTTATATCTATATATACTTATTTTAAGCTGATAATTAAGTTTATTTATATTTACATTTTTAAAATGACTTAAATATTTATATTTAAGTTATTTAAGTCCCTTTGTAGTCTAAAAAAACTCTACCTTTTTTACTCCCTTCCTTCACATTTTACATTTTTCATGCCATATTTTTACATCTTAATGTTTATCTCCTAACTGTTTATTGTAGTTTGAGTTAATTTTACAGATCTTGTCTTCTAAACTTTTTATAACACTAGCTTACTTAAGTGGTTGATCCACAGCTTTTACTAGTCAGATTTTTTCCTTCCTTTCAAATTCTTACTTCCAATAAAAAGTTACTCTGTTGTAACATTTTCTTTTTCACTTAACACCCTTTAACACTTCTTGTAAGTTCAGTTTAGTATTGATGAACTCTTACTTTTTTGCTTGTCTGCAACACTCTTTATCTCTCCTTCAACTCTGAATGATAACCTTACTGGGCAGAGTATCCTAGGTTGCAGCGTTTTCCTTTTCAGCACTTTAACCGTATCATGTCACTTCCTTCTGGCCTGCAAAAAATCTGCGGAAAAATCAACTGATAGTCTTAAAGTCTCTTGTGATTCGTGTTCTCTTGCTGCCTTGAAAATTCTTTAATTCTGCCGTTTTAACCGTGATTCATCTTGGTGTGGATCTCTTTGGGTTCATCTTCTTTGAGACTCTCCATGCTTTCTGTACTTGGAAATCTGTTTCCTTCTTCAGCTTCTGGAAGTTTTCCACTACAATGCTATCAAAGACGTTCTACCCCTTTCTCTCTCTTCTCCTTATTGGACCTCTGGTATGTGAATGTTGGTATGCTTGATGTCCCAGAGCTACCTTAAACTATTCTTTTTTTTAAAAAATTTGCTTTTCTTATTGCTGTCCTGATCGGATGCTTTCCATTATTCTATCTTCCAGATAGCTTCTGCATTTTTCCATATCACCTACTGCTGTGACTAGGAGTAAGCAACCCAACCGTGAATGCTGTTTAAGAGCAAAGTCATAGCCCTCTGGTGAGCCCTGCTGGTTTTCAAACCAGCTAAGGGGACTTGTCTTCCTTGTGTTGGACCCCAGGGCTGGGATGCCCTACAGATAGACTATATTTCCCATGCTACAGATGTCCAGCTTGGACTTACTTTGGCCAGTGGAAGACAAGCAGAAGTGTTGAGTGTTATTAGAGTGAAATCTGTAAGAGCTATTGCATGGTCTGCCATCATCCCTCTTTTAACTCTGTTGCTAGACAAGCCAAATCCCCAAAGGAGCCTGTCTCTTCAGCTGAGTCCCCAAATGAAGAAGACGTGCAGTAGAATCTCTTGTTGATGTTCCATAAAAATAAATGTGACCAAGAAATATGCTTAGCTCTTGTAAGTGATTGAGATTCTGAGATTGTTTTTTACTACAGCATAATTAAGCATACACTGACTGAAGCAATAATGCTGTAGATGATTCAGTGAAAGAAGAAAATAGGATCTGTGTGAGCCCTTACCCCACTGGATGAGATTCAATTCTTGTCTTGCTTTGCTCTTTTTCTCTGTCTCTCTCATTATTCTTGAGATAATCTTTGATTATTGTCTCTCTGTATTTTTATTTCTCTTGAATGTTAATATTTGTGGCTCTGTCTCTAACTTTGAGGCCATCCTATTCTGAGTTTTTCTTAGTAGTGAGAAGAGAGTTTTTTCAACAGTGTGTTGTTTCAGTAATAAGGATAATAACATTAACTCATATTCCACTTTCAAAGAAAGTCACATGGTTATGTCTAACTTCAAAGTGACTGGGGAAATGCATTTTCTGTCTATTTCTTGGGAAAAGAGAACAAAATATTGGTTAATAATCTACGTGAGTAGCACAAACTCTGAACTTTTCCTAGAAACTGATCTCAAGAAATAAGTGTCAGCATTAGAACTTCCTCACTATTCTTTTTTCACTCCTTTTGTGGGCACAGAGACCATCAATATTACTCTCCCTATATACTCATTCACATGTACAGTGGGCAGGGTCATTGAGAAACAGGATCTAAATCTTGTCCTCCTCTGGGGCCTCAGTTACCCTAACTGTTCTAGGGATGGTTATAACACTAAGTTATTGAAGGTATTTCTTTTTTAAAAAATGTTATTTATTTATTTATTTATTTATTTATTTTTGGCTGCACTTGGATCTTCATTGCTGCACGTGGGCTTTATCTCTAGTTGTGGCACAATGCCAGGACATAGGGTGAATGAAAAGGTGAAAGTTATTCCCATTGGCTCTAAAGATAGCAAGGTCCCCAGTGACTTGCACGATAGAAAATACTTTGCCCAACCCACACACCTACAGTCAATTAATCTTTGACAAAGGAGACAAGAATACACATTGGAGAGAAGATAGTCTCTTCAGCAAGTGGTGGTGGGAAAGCTGAACATTTGCAGCTATTGATAAATCAATGAAGTTAGAACACTCCCTCACACCCTGCACAAAAATACCTCAAGATGGCCTAAAAGACACCACATGACTCCATAAAGTTCCTAGAATAGAAAATAGGCAAAATATTCTCTGATATAAATTGTACCAATGTTTTCTTAGGTCAGTCTCCGAAGCCAACAAAAATAAAAATAAAAGTAAACAAATGAGACCTAGTCAAATCTGTAAGCTTTGGCACAGCAAAGGATACCTTAAAAAGAATGAAAAAACAATCCACAGACTGGGAGAAAATATTTACAAATGATGCGACCATCAAGGGTTTCATTTCCAAAATATACGAACAGCTTATATAACTCAATAACCAAAAGTAAACAACCCAATCAAAAACTGGGCAGAAGACTTGAGTAAACACTTCTCCAAAAGGACATACAGATGGTGAACAGGCACATGAAAACATCCTCAGCATTGACGGGTATTAGAAAAATGCAAATCAAAACGCTAATGAGGTATCACCTCACAAAAGTCAGAATGGTTATCATTAAAGTCTACAACAGTCAGCAAAAACAAGACTGGGAGCTGACTGTGGCTCAGATCATGAACTCCTTACTACAAAATTCAGACTTAAATTGAAGAAAGTAAGGAAAACCACTAGACCATTCAGGTATGACCTAAATCAAATTCCTTACAATTATTACAATGGAAGTGACAAATAGATTCAAGGGATTATATCTGATAGATAGAGTGCCTGAAGAAATATGGATGGAGGTTTGTAACATTGCACAGGAGTTGGTAATCGAAACCATCCCCAAGAAAAAGAAATGCAAAAAGGCAAAATGGTTGCCTGAGGAAGCCTTACATATAGCTGAGAAAAGAAGAGAGGCAAAGGGTAAAGGAGAAAAGGAAAGATATACCCACTTGAATGCAGAGTTCCAAAGAATAAAAAGGGAAGATGAGAAAGCCTTCTTATGTGAAAAAAGCAAAGAAATAGAGGGAAACAATAGAATGGGAAATACTAGCGATCTCTTCAAGAAAATTAGAGATACCAAGGGAACATTTCATGCAAAGATGGGCTCAAAGGACAGAAAAGATATGCACCTAACAGAAGCAGAAGATATTAAGAAGAGGTAGCAAGAATACACAGAAGAACTATACAATAAAGATCTTCATGACCCAGATAATGACCATGGTGTGATCACTCACCTAGAGCAGACATCCTGAAGTGTGAAGTCAAGTGGGCCTTAGAAAGCATCACTATGAACAAAGCTAGTGGAGGTGATGGAATTCCAGCTGAGCTATTTTAAATCCTAAAAGATGATGCTGTTAAAATGCTGCACTCAAAATGCCAGCAAATTTGGAAAACCCAGCAGTGGCCACAGGACTGGAAAAGGTCAGTTTTCATTCCAATCTCAAAGAAAGGCAATGCAAAAGAATGTTCAAACTACCGCACAATTGCACTCATCTCACACGCTAGCAAAGTAGTGCTCAAAATTCTCCAAGCCACGCTTCAGCACTACATGAACCGTAAACTTCCTGATGTTCAGGCTGGATTTAGAAAAGGCAGAGGAACCAGAGATCAAATTACCAATGCCCATTGGATTGGATCACTGAAAAAGTAAGATAGTTCCAGAAAAACATCTATTTCTGCTTTATTGGTTACACCACAGCCTTTGACTATGTGGATCACAACAAACTGTGGAAAATTCTGAAAGAGATGGGAATACCAGACCACCTGACCTGCCTCCTGAGAAATCTGTAGGCAGGTCAAGAAGCAACATTAGAGCTGGACATGGAACAATGGACTGGTTCCAAATTGTGAAAGGAGTATGTCAAGGTTGTACATTATCACCCTGCTTATTTAACTTATATGCAGAATACATCATGCAAAATGCTGTGTTGGATGAAGCACAAGCCAGAATCAAGATTGCTTGGAAAAATATCAATAACCTCAGATATGCAGATGACACCACCCTTATGGCAGAAAGCAAAGAGGAACTAAAGAGCCTCTTGATGAAAGTGAAACAGAAGCATGAAAAAGCTGGCTTAAAACTCAATATTCAAAAAACTAAGGTCATGGCATCTGGTTCCATCACTTCATGGCAAATAGATGGGGAAACAATGGAAACAGTGACAAACTTTATTTTCTTGGGCTCCAAAATCACTGCAGATGGTGACTGCAACCATGAAATTAAAAGATGCTTTATCCTTAGAAGAAAAACTATGACTAACCTAGACAGTATATTAAAAAGCAGAGACATTACTTTGCCAACAAAGGTCCATCTATTCAAAGCTACAGTTTTTCCAGTAGTCATGTATGGATTGATGTGTGAGTTGTACATAAAGAAGGCTGAGAGCCAATGAATTGATGCTTTTGAACTGTGGTATTGGAGAAGAATCTTGAGAGTCCCTTGGACTGCAAGGAGATCCAACCAGTCCATTCTAAAGGAAATCAGTCCTAGATATTCATTGGAAGGACTGATGCTGCAGCTGAAACTCCAATGCTTTGGCCACCTGATGGGAAGAACTGACTCACTGGGAAAGACCCTGATGCTGGGAAAGATAGAAGGCAGGAGGAAAAGGGGATGACAGAGGGTGAGATAGTTGGATGGCATCACCGACTCAATGGACATGAGTTTGAGCAAACCCCAGGAGATGGTGAAGAACAGGGAAGCCTGACATGCTGCAGTCCATGGCGTCACAAAGAGTCAGACATAACTGAGCGACTGAACAAAAACACATGCTCTTTGTTGAATACAAATAAAATAAAATTAATAAAGCAAAATAATAAAATAAAATAAAAATTTGCTGAGAAACCCCCAAACTCAGACCACACGGAGTTAGGTCTTCCATCAGACCCCACCTCCTCTTCCACACCTCACTCTCCACAGATGCGCAACCCCCCACACCCAGTGGGCACAGGATGCCCACTTCTGCTGGCCAGCTAACCTTAGTCCCTCATAACGCAATGTCACTCACCTACAAAACTGGCTACAGCCGCCCTTGCAGTGCCACCACCCTACACCCAGCCTCCACAAGTCCCTCTGGCTGATACCACCCCTCTTCCTTGGGGGACATACTCTCTGTTCAAGGGCATCACCCACCAAGATACCTCCAGCCCATTAGGAGCTTATCAAAAGCTGGCTTGGCATCCAACTGAGAGGATAAACTCCATGGCCCCTGCAGCGCCTGTGCCTTTGGGCTCCTTCATGTCTCTGGGGGTTTCAAAAGCAGGAACTCTGCCAAGGTAGGATACTGGAACATCGTTCCCAAAACATTGGGCAAAATAAAGAACAGAGCAGACAACCTTCAAGAGGAACAGCAGCATTGAAGGCAGGCACGGACCACCGCTCTCTCCGCCATCCTGCTCCTCATCCTCTTCATTGGCTTCCTGCTCTTCTGGGGCCACCCTGCCTCCTGGGGCCGCCTCCCCCCGGACCCCGGCCTCTGCCCTTCCTAAGGGACGTCTTTCAATTGGACCATAAAGGCTTTCTCAAGCCATTCCAGGCAGTGAGATGGAAAGGGCAGGGGGTTGGAAAGCCAGAAATGGGTAGATGGTAAACAGCTCAGAGGCAGTGAGGGAGCTGGGGGTCAACTTTGGGTGGGATTTGCCCTACCCCTTGCCCTACCCTCTGCAAGAGACTGTCTTCTTGCAGTCTTGATCTGGCCCTCTACGCCCACTAGAGAAGCTTATGACATGTCCTTTGAGGAGTGGAGAGAGAAATTATTTTTTCATTAAAAAATTGTATTGGAGTACTGTTGACTTACAATGTTGTGTTAGCTTCAAGTTTATGGAAAAGTAGGTCAGTTATACATTTATATATATTCATTCTTTCCCAGATTCTTTACCCATATAAGTTATTACAGAATATTGAGTAGGGTTCCCTGTGCCATACTAGTAGGTCCTTGTTGATTATCAATTTTATATATGGTAGTGTGTGTATGTTAATCCCAAATTCCTAGTTTATCTTTCCACACCCTGCATGTTTCACCTTTGGTAACTGTAAATTTCTTTTCTACATCCATGACTCTGTTTGGTAAATACATTCATTTGTATCATTTTTTTAAAAAAGTTATATTCCACGTATGAGTGATAACGTATTACATTTGTTGTTCTCTGTCTTACTTCACTTAGTATGATCATCTCTAATTCATGTTGCTGCAAAATGACATTATTTAGTTCTTTTTTATGACTAATATTCCATTGTATATATGTACCACATGTTCTTTAACCATTCCTCTGTCAATGGACATTTAGGTTGCTTCTATGTCTTGGGTATGGTAAATAGTGCTGGAGTGATCATTAGGTTGCATGTATCTTTTCTTTCTTAAGGCTTTTAATACAGTCCCCAGTACAGTTTCATAATATGTGCCAAATGGGTTTTCAAAATAATAAGGATAGATGGTAAAGATCATCAGTACTTTGGAGGGTGCAATAGAAGACTCTGTCCTTAATGGCTTCTGTACTGTTTTTGAAATTAATTTTTATTGGATATAGTTGATTTATAATGTTGTGTTACTTTCTGCTGTATAGCAAAGTGAATTAGTTATACACATATCCACTATTTTTTAGATTCTTTTCCCAAAAAGGTCATTACAGAATATTGATTAGTTCCCTGTGCTATACAATAGGTTCTTATTAGTTATCTATCTTATACAAACATAAGTGTATATATGTTAATCCCATTCTCTCAATTTTGCTACCCCCCACTTTCCTCCTAGGTAACCATAAGTTTGTCTTCTACATCTGTGATACTACTTCTGTATTTCTTTTAATTAATTTTTATTGGAGTACAGTTGATTTATAATGTTGTGTTATTAACATATCCCCTCTCTTCTAGACTCCAATCCTATATTGGTCATTAGAGACTATTGCATAGATTTCCCTATGCTATATGGGAATATCTTATTAGTTATCTATTTTATACATAGTAGTGTTTATATGTCAACCCCAATCTCCCAATTACCACCTCTCTTCCCACTTGGTAACCATAAGCTTGTTTTCTACATCTGTGACTGAATTTCTGATTTGTAAATAGGATCATTTGTATTATATTTTTAGATTTCAAATATATGTATGATACCACATGATATCTGTCTTTCTCTGTCTGACTTACCTCACTCAGCATAACAAACTCTAGGTTCATCTATGCTGCTGCAAATAGCATTACTTCATCCTTTTTCATGGCAGAGTAATATTCCATATTATATATATATGCACTACTTCCTTACCTAATCACACATCAATGGACATTTAGGTTGCTTCCATGTCCTGGATATTGTAAATAGTGCTGCAATGAACACTGGGGTGCATATATATTTTCAAACTATGGTTTTCTCTGGACATATGCCCAGGAATGAGATTGCAGGATCATATGGAAGCTTTATTTTTAGTTTCTTAAGAAACCTCCATACTGTTCTCCACAGTGATTGCACCAATATACATTACAACCAACAGTATAGGAGGGTTCCTTTCAGAGAGAGATTCTGATAGACTTGAGACTTTGAACTGAGATCCTGTGTGGGTTGGGACAGAGTGATAGAGAGTCATTCTATAGCTTGGCTGTAGGAGTCTCTGTAATTCTCAAATCCAAAGCTGGGAGGGCTCTTGGAAAAGCCAAGAGAGGAGGATGCTTGGGGTCAGGTGATATATGTGAGGCTCGGAGGAGACCACAGAGTTCCAGTCTCTGCTCTTCCATGACAGGGCTGCAGCCTGCAGGGTAGGCTACCTGGGAGGTGTGATCCAGGGGTGAGGTGGAGAGCCTTCTGTTGAGTCAGAGAGTGAGACCTGGACTCTGCCCCACAGCTGCGGGAGAAATACAGGGATGTCTACCATCTACCTGCCATCTCGTTCTGCTGTCATCCTGTAGGGGTATGAGGCAATGAGGGAGGCCCTGGTGGATCAGGCGGAGGCGTTCTCTGGCCAAGGGCAAGTCACCATCATTGACCCTGTCTTCCAGGGGACAGGTGAGTGGGGGATGAGGGTGAGGATTAGGGAGGGAAGGAGGGAACATCCCATGTGCCTTCTCAACCTTCCCTCCACGCCCCACCATCAGGTCTAGGTTTTGCCAGTGGAAAGTCTTGGAAGAGTCTACGGTGATTCTCTGTGACCACCAAGAAGGCCTTTGGGATGGGGAAGTGGAGTATTGAGGAATGAATCAAGGAGGAGGCTCAGTGTCTGGTGGAGGAGCTTTGGAAATCCCAGGGTGAGTGCAGGCTGGGTTAACATGGGGATGAAATGGGGACAGAGGAGAGAGAGATGCAGAGATAGGAAGAGGAAGAGAAGGATATAGATAACAGAGAAGAAAAAAAGAAAGAAAATGATGGAGACACAGAGAGAGGGAGAGGGAGAGAAAGCAGACAGAAACAGCAGAGATAGAGATGAAGGAAGACAGAGATCCTGAGAACACTCACAAGATGAACCTGGCAGCAGATTAGGAAAAGACTTAGGAAAAAAATAAAAAGAGATATAGGGTCTGAGGAACACAGAATGTCAGTGAAGTCAAGGAGAGGAGACTCAAAGACATATGGGGCTAAGGAGAGAGAATAGAGAAGAGGGGGTGATTTTGAAAGAAAGAGTCAAAGACCAGACCAGAGAAAGTCACCCCAAGACAGATAGTAAGAAAAACAACAAAAGACACAGAGGTAGAGACTCTTACAAAAAGAGCTGAAACTCACAGGAAAAATGAAATCTGGTTGGCCAACAGAAAAGAAAGAAAACCACCAAACAAGCTGAAATGGCTCTAGTCAGGTCAGTCTCCCAGGACAATGCAGGGGACCCTCATAACAGATCTCTCCTTCTTAGGGGCCTATCTGGACCCCCACATCCTCCTTAACTCCATCACCGCCAACATCATCTGCTCTGTTGTCTCTGGTGAGCGCTTTAATTACCAGGACCCTAGATTAATACGGCTGCTACATTCACTGAATGAAGTCTTCACCATTCTCAGCTGCTTCTATAGCCAGGTGAGGTCAAAGATTGCACTGTGGGCCAGGAATCGAGGTGGGTGGATCATGAGAAGAGTGAGATGTTTTCTGTCCTGAACACCAAAGGCAGAATGCATCAAGAGATCAGTTTTATGTGAGCACTCCAAGCCCTGCACCCTTCCAGGTGAGGCCATCAGTCAGTTGGAGTGTCAGAATCAGGCCTCGGACAAGGACAGCCTTTGAGAGAAGAAACCTCAGCAGATATGAGTGACTGGCTCGGAGTGCAGAGGTCTATTCACCAGTGTGTGTGTGTATGTGTGAGTGTGGGTGAGGTGGGTGACTGTGTGGGTGTGTGCTGAGGTGGGAGGCATTTTGGATGTTGTTGCATGTGCAGCTCAGAACACACAGCACCAGCCCAGTGAGTACAATGGGTTCTGGGACCTCGTTTGCTGCCTTGTACGTGTTTGAAATCTTCCCAGGCATCTTGAAACACTTCTCTGGCACACATACCTGCTTGTACAGCATGCTTCAAGAAGTGAAAGATTTTTTCACTGAAAATATCGAGAGCCACTGGAAGACACTAGACCCCAGTGACCCAAAGAACTTCATTGATTCCTTCCTGCTCCACATGGACAAGGTAAGGGCTGCCCCAGATTCAGGGCAGGGGCGGGGTGGACATGAGAAAGAATGATGAACACACTACTGTCATTGAACTAGTATATTTGTGTGTGATGTACCTGAAATTTAAATGTTGAAATACTTATGTAAGGATTAGCAAGCAATCCATGGTCCAACCCTCCCCTGATTCATTCCTAACCTTCTCTAAGCCTTTTTCCTGGAATGCCTCTGAAGAGATGATAGAAAAGGAGTTGATCTGTGACCCAATTAAGCTTGCTCTGAGTTGCAGCTCACTACTTCTCTCAGTTCTGACAGACAGAGATCGAACCCTGCTTTGATTGGTCATAAACATATGTCTGTTCTGACTGGTAGAGGCCAATGTTTATTCTGATTGGTGGAAGCTGATATCTCTTCTGATTGGCCTGCAAGTGCCTCAGTTCAGTTCAGTTCAGGCGCTCAGTTGTGTTGACTCTTTGCAGCACCATGGACTGCAGCACGCCAGGCTTCCCCATCCATCACCAACTCCCAGAGTTTACTCAAACTCATGTCCATTGAGTCGGTGATGCCATCCAACCATCTCATCCTCTGTCGTCCCCTTCTCCTCCTGCCTTCAATCTTTTCCAGCATCAGGATCTTTTCTAATGAGCCAGCTCTTCGCATCAAGTGCCCAAAATATTGGAGTTTCAGCTTCTAGCATCAGTCCTTCCAATGAATATTCAGGACTGACTTCCTTTAGGATGGACAGGTTGGATCACCTTGCAGTCCAAGAGACTCTCAAGAGTCTTCTCCAACACAGCTCAAAAGCATCAATTCTTCGGCGCTCAGCTTTCTTTATAGTCCAATTCTCACATCCATACACAACTACTGGAAAAACCATAGCCTTGACTAGACAGACATTTGTTGGCAAAGTAATGTCTCTGCTTTTTAATATGCTGTCTAGGTTGGTCATAGCTTTACTTCCAAGAAGTAAGTCTTTTTATTTCATGGCTACAGTCACCATCTGCAGTGATTTTGAAGTCCAAAACAATAAAGTCTGCCACTGTTTCCACTGTTTCCATGTACTTGCTATGAAGTGATGGGACTGGACCCCATGAACTTTGTTTTCTGAACATTGAGCTTTAAGCCAACTTTTTCACTCTCCTCTTTCACTTTCATCAAGAGGATCTTTAGTTCTTCACTTTCTGCCATAAGGGTTGTGTCATCTGCATATCTGAGGTTATTGCTATTTCTCCCAGCAATCTTGATTGCAGCTTGTGCTTCTTCCAGCCCAGCATTTCTCATGATGTACTCTGCATAAAAGTTAAATAAGCAGGGTGACAGTATACAGCCTTGATGTACTCCTTTTCCTGTTTGGAACCAGTCTGTTGTTCCATGTCCAGTTCTAACTGTTGCTTCTTGACCTGCATACAGGTTTCTCAAGAGGCAGGTCAGGTGATCTGGTATTTCCATCTCTTTCAGAATTTTCCAGTTTGTTGTGATCCACACAGTCAAAGGCTTTGGCATAGTCAATAAAGCAGAAATAGATGTTTTTCTGGAACTCTCTTGCCTTTTTGATGATCCAATGGATGTTGGCAGTTTAATCTCTGGTTCCTCTGCCTCTTCTAAAACCAGCTTAAACATCTGGAAGTTCATGGTTCATGTATTGTTGAAGCCTGGTTGCAGAATGTTGAGCATTACGTTACTAGCATGTGAAATGAGTGTAATTCTGCAGTAGTTTGAGCATTCTTTGGCATTGCCTTTCTTTAGGATTGGAATGAAAACTGACCTTTTCCAGTCCTGTGGCCACTGCTGAGTTTTCCAAGTTTGCTGGCACATTGAGTATAGCACCTTCAAAACATCATCTTTTAGGATTTGAAATAGCTCAGCTGGAATTCCATCACCTCCACTAGCTTTGTTCATAGTGAAGCTTCCTAAGGCCCACTTGACTTCACATTCCAGGATGGCTGGCTCTAGGTGAGTGATCACACCATCATGATTATCTGGGAAGATCTTTTTTGTACAGTTTTTCTGTATATTCTTGCCACCTCTTCTTAATATCTTCTGCTTCTGTTAGGTCCATACCGTTTTTGTCCTTTATTGTACCCATCTTTGCATGAAATGTTCTCTTGATATTTTTAATTTTCTTGAAGAGATCTCTAGTCTTTCCCATTCTATTATTTTCCTCTATTTCTTTGCACTGATCACTGAGGGAGGCTTTCTTATCTGTCCTTGCTATTCCTTGAAACTCTGTATTCAAATGGGTATATCTTTTCTTTTCTCCTTTGCTTTTGGCTTCTCTTCTTTACACAGCTATTTGTAAGGTCTCCTCAGACAGCCATTTTGCCTTTTCGCATTTCTTTTTCTCAGGATTGGTCTTGATCCCTGTCTCCTGTACAATATCATGAACCTCCATCTGTAGTTCATCAGGCACTCTATCAGATCTAGTCCCTTAAATCTATTTCTCACTTCCACTGTATAATAGTTAGGAATTTGATTTAGGTCATACCTGAATGGTCTACTGGTTTTCCCTACTTTCTTCAATTTAAGTCTGAATTTGGCAATAAGGGGTTCATGATCTGAGCCACAGTCAGCTCCCAGTCTTGTTTTGGCTGGCTGTATAAAGCTCCTCCATCTTTGGCTGCAAAGAATATAATCAATCTGATTTCAGTGTTGACCATCTGGCAACATCCATGTGTAGAGTCTTCTCTTGTGTTGTTGGAAGACGGTGTTTGCTATGACCAGTGCATTCTCTTGGCAGAACTCTATTAGCCTTTGCCCTTCTTCATTCTGTACTCCAAGGCCAAATTTGCCTGTCAAGCCAGGTGTTTCTTAACTTCCTACTTTTGCATTCCGGTCCCCTATAATGAAAAGGACATCTTTTTTAGGTGTTAGTTCTAGAGGGTCTTGTAGGTCTTCATAGAACCGTCCAACTTCAGCTTCTTCAGCATTACTAGTCGATGCATAGACTTGGATTACTGTGATATTGAATGGTTTCCCTTGGAAACGAGCAGAGATCATTCTGTCATTTTTGAGATTGCATCCAAGTACTGCATTTCAGACTCTTTTGTTGACTATGATGGCTGCTCCATTTCTTCTAAGGGATTCTGGCCCACTGTAGTAGATATAATGGTCATCTGAGTTAAATTCACCCATTCCAGTCCATTTTAGCTCACTGTTAGTAGGCAAGTGCCTACTAGTTGTTAAATATTTTTGGTATCATTCCTGGAATGTCAGCCACAAGGGCCAATCCAGAGCACAATGACACCCAAGGACACAACAACATCAGCAATATTAACAACAAATTAACCCCAAGGGTGTGGTGCATGTCATTAGCTCAGTTCAGTTGCTCAGTCGTGTCTGACTATTTGCAACCCCATGAATCACAGCACGCCAGGCCTCCCTGTCCATCACCAACCCCCGGAGTTTACTCAAACTCATGTCCATTGAGTCGGTGATGCCATCCAGCCATCTCATCCTCTGTCATCCCCTTCTCCTCCTTCCCCCAGTACCTCGCAGCATCAGGGTCTTTTTCAATGAGTCAACTCTGCTCATGAGGTGACCAAAGTATTGGAGTTTCAGCTTCAGCATCAGTCCTTCCAATGAACACTCAGGACATATTATTTCAAAACAACCCCACATGATGAGCTAATGGACAGAGAGTTTATATTCCTTGCCCAAAGACACAGAGCTAGTAAATGGTAGGGTTGAGTTTGAAATCCAAGCACTTTGGCTCCAGACCTCACCCCTTTATTGCCTTGTTGGCCTTGATTAAAGAAAAAAGGATCAGGAAAAAGAATAACTGGCATAGAGTAACGTGTTGGTAGGGAGATAGGAATACCCAGACACTGGTAATCTTCGCAAGAGGAGACATTAAAAATCAACCATCCCCATCTCTGGGAGCACTCAGATCCTGAGAATGAGTTTCACCAGAAGAATCCTATTCACACGGTGCTCTCACTGTTCTTCACTGGCTCAGAGACCTCTAGTCCCATTGTTTGTTATGGGTTTCTACTTCCTCTCAAGAATCCTGATGTCTTAGGTGAGCTGGGCTTATGGGAGGTGGGGACGGGGGACAATTGACGGTCTCTAAGGGCATGCCTTCCATCTCTAAGGAAGGTGGTTGGCTGACGGGATAAGACAGACAAGTTCTGTCCTGAGCAGTCTGAAAAATAAAAAATCACCCTTATCAGGATTTGTAACTTGTAATAAAGACTTGTTGCAGGCAGAGCTCTTTGAATTTGACAAAGCACTTTAGGGTTTACAAAATATTTTTTCATCAGTGAAGCACCTTCTGGTGTAGAAGGTGTTTATATTTATGAAGTTTTTTGTAATTTGAAAAATTCTTGGGTGACACTAAGATACTTTCTAGTTTATAAGCCAGGCTCAATACAAAGCATTACCATTTGCAATGCATTTCATCGTCTACCAAAGTACATCATTTTTACCAACTACTTTTTGGGGTTGACTAAGAACTTGACTTTGCTGATTTACAACTAATTAAAAAGCCCCTGCTGTGGTTCTCTTGTTGATGGTCTGCATATCAGACTTGGAGAAGCTCTCAAAGTTTCTTGGAGAAACTGATCAAACCCCATTATTTCACAGGAATGAATTTAAGACTAGAGAAGGGAGTGACTTATCTAATATCACTTAGCTGTCAGTGGCACAAAAGGATATGACACCATTTTAAGCTACAACTCATTTTTAGAAGAGTGGGGGGGGGGGGAGGCATCCTTAAATGTTGAATGAATTTCTACCCACCCAACCTTACCCAAGTTACCCTCTGTCATAACTTGAGTAGAAACATCACACAAGACTTCCCCACAAAGAAGCTTCTGACTTTATTTTTTGATGCTTTCATTGAGAAGGAATGATAACCCAACATCTTACTTAAGAATTTATAAAACCCTCTCAACAGTCTGCAGGTCATTTTTAGGTCACTTGGTTGAGTCCACTGTTATGAGCATTTATTGTGTACCCTCCTCCCATCCTTATCATTCTCAGAGAAAGTCCATGCAGAAATCGACAGAGTAATTGGTACACACCATCTCCCAGCCCTGAAAGATCAGGCAAAAATGCCTTATACAAAGGCCATCATCCACGAGATTCAGAGATTCAGTGATCTCCTCCCCTTTGGTGTTCCCCACTCTGTCATCAAGGACACTGACTTCTGGGGATATTACCTCCCTAAGGTGAGACCAGCAGGGCTACAGAATCAGTTGGAAGGTGCTGTCTGCACCTAGTCCTATGGTTGTTGTCTGATTGTTGGACTATAAGAAGAATTTTTATTTCTAGATTTTTGTGGGAGAAAGGGAGAGTTTAGAAAAAGAGAAAAGTCCTCTCCTGTTTATTCTATCTTGTTTTTCTACCTTTACAAGATGTTAGATTTGCTGAAAAGTAATATATCTGTATTGAAATCTGTTAGACAATAGAGTTAGTTTTTTAAAAGCTATTCTATCATCTCACCTTTATGTTTATATGAACCCATTTGTTACTGTTATTGTTCTGTCGCTAAGTCTGACTCTTCAGGACCCCATGGACTGCAGCATGCCAGGCTCCTCTTGTCCTCCACTATCTCCCAGAGTTTGCTCAAATTCATGTCAATTGAGTCAGTGATGCTATCTAACCATCTCACCCTCTGCTGCACGCTTCTCCTTTGCCTTCAATCTTTCTCAGCATCAGGGTCTTTTCCAATGAGTCGGCTTTTCGCATCAGGTAGCCAATGTATTGGAGCTTCAGCATCAGTCCTTCCAATGAATATTCAGGGTTGATTTCCTTTAGGATTGACTGGTTTGACTTCCTTGCAGTCCAGGGGACTCTCAAGAGTCTTCTCCAGCCCTACAACTCAACAGCATCAATTCTTTTGCACTCAGCCTTGTTCTTGGTCCAACACTTGCATCCGTACGTGATTACTAGGAAAAAAAAAAATCACATTGAATACATGGACCTTTGTTGGCAAAGTGGTGTCTCTGCTTTTTAAAACCTACCTGTCTAGGATTGTCATAGCTTTCCTTCCAAGGAGCATCTTTTAATTTCATGGCTGCAGTTACTGTCTGCAGCGATTTTCCACATACACAACAACTGACTGATACCGTGTCTGTCACTTTGCAACTTGTGTCGAGTGTGCATGTCACCTTCCCCTCTAGTCTTTAAGCCCATATCAATACAATTTGAAATTTGTTGGTGCATGTCTGTGTGTATGAGTATGGCTTTCCTTTTTTAATATAACAGTACACTGTATAGATAGAGGCTTCCCTGGTGACTTCCCAGGTGGCCCAGTAGTAAAGAATCCACCTGCCAATGTAGGAGGCACAGCAGTTGCAGGTTCAATCCCTGGGTTGGGAAGATCCCCTGGAGAAGGAAATGGCAAGCTACTCCAGTATTCTTGCCTGGAGAATCCCTATGGACAGAGGAGCCTGCCAGGCTACAGTTTATGGAGTCACAAAGAGTCAGACATGAGTGAGCACAGATAGCAGCATAACGTATAGATACATTATTCAGGTCGACGCCTACAGTTCTAACTTATTTTTTTCATGGTAGCTTATGTTGCTGAGTCTAGGTGCACCTAGGGGTGATATTTACAGTGTTGATCACCCAATGGTTGATTGATACCAGCACCCATCAGATTATATTCCAGCCCTAGTCCTGGAGTCAACTTCTTAAAGGGCTCTGTTGAGTCAGATGTGAGCCTTTTAGTTGATGGATCATAAAGTAGACCAAGGGGTCTTGGGGATGAGGGATCAGGGTGGTTGGTGACGATACCTGGAGGGATGGGACACTAGTAACCGAATGGGGAGAGTCATTTCAACATTCCTGCCACCAACTATAGAGCCACACAGTGGGTGAAGCTCATTATCAGCTGTGGAGGGACCATAATGGATTCAGCCACTCTTTGTTAATGGTCATTTGGGTCCACTTTTCTTTAACATCCTCTTAGGGCATTACCATGTATCCCATCCTGAGTTCTGCCCTCCACGACCCACGCCACTTTGAGAAGCCAGATGCCTTCTACCCTGGCCACTTCCTAGATGCGCAGGGCAACTTCAGGAAGTCAGAAATCTTCATTCCATTCTCTATAGGTACGCCATGCTCTTTCTCCCCCAAGGGAATGCCTGCTCACTCCTGTTCTGTGTGTGACTTTCTGACTCAATTCAGGCCCAAACACGTTTTGGCAAAATATAATATTTTCAAGGACAGAGAAAGCAAGACATCTACAGAGACAAGGATAGTGGGGGTGTGGGGAGGGGACGGGGGAAGGAAGGGATGAGGTATGATGGGGGAGGAAGATGGAGACTCAGTGATAAAGTGAGAGACACAGACACACACTTGAACACAGAGAACAGACAAATAAATGATCCATTATCAAGAACCTGCTATGTCCCAGCAATGAGGAAAAGTGTTTACAATTTTTCTAAGTTAAAATAGCCATTTTTCTTCTAACTTACACAAATAAGGATGTAAAGTAAAAAGTTGACGTTAAAAATAACCTTTAAGTCACTGCTAAATCAGACATATTAATACTACAGAGGATGTCCTTTAAAAATATTTATAACATTTACACATATGCAAGGCAGGTGATCTGGGTTCAATCCCTGGATTGGGAAGATTCCCTGGAGAAAGGAACGGCTACCCACTCCAGGATTCTGGCCTGGAGAATTACATGGGCTGTATAGTCCAGGAGGTTGCAAAGAGTCAGATACCACTGAGTGACTTTCACTTTCAATTTCAAGATATGTGATATAGACAGATAGATAATGGGTAAGTAGCTGAAAGAACAGTAAAAAGAAAGAAAGGGACAGAAAGGAAGAGAAAGAAGAAACATTCATTGATTTACTTCTTGTTAGCTAGTTTCATATTTAAAATACAAGCCAGTTTAGAATGAGATCCAGGAGGAATTAAGGAATATTTACTCCCAGAATTTTGCAGTTACCCGTAATCCATCACCTATCAAATGACTCAATTTTTAGCCACTATTTGAAATTTATATTTAAAATGTTTAATCTCCTTAGGTATATTTCTGTTTGTTTTTTCATAATGATGCACATTCACATTGACTGTCTAATCTGTTTTTTCTAGCTATACAATATTATTTGAATTTACCTGTACAATGTGTTTTAATATTTTACAGGTGCCATTGCTCTTCTTTTTTCCTGTAACATGTTTTATTTTTCTTCCAAGCATACTTTAGAATCATTTTGTCAAAGACTCAAGAAAAATTCCACTGGGATTTTATTAGGATTAACCTAAATTTGTAATTTGATTCACATAGCTTTGACAAGTCTATATGTTGAATATATCCTAGACAAAAGATAGTGTTTCCATTTAGTCCTTCTCATATCATTGGAGGCATTTTGAACTTTTTAGCTAGGTTTTGTATATTTCTTGCTAAATTTATTGCTAAGAAACATAGGAGGAGACTGTGGCTATTGTTCGTAGAGCCTCTTTGTCAGGTTGGGCTGTGGGTTGCTGTAACAAAATGCCATAGACTGGATGGTTTAACAAAAAAAAATTATTTTTCAGGGTTCTGGAAGCCACAAGTCTGCGACCAGAGTGCCAGCGTGGTCAGGTTCTGGTCTTCCTGGCTTGGACACGGCCGCCATCTTGCTGTGGCCTCTCACGGCAGAGTGAGCGCTCTGGTATCACTTCCTTGTCTTGTAAGAATCCTCTCCCCTCAAGGAGGCCCCACCCTAATGAGCTCATTTAAACTTAATTATCTTCCAAGGTCCCTTCAGAAAGAACACACTTCAGTCCAGAAACACTCTTCTAAAAACATTTTAATTGTTTTAATAAGTATATCAGAAATCCACTGAGGTTTTGGGGTGTATATTTCTTTCATAACTGAACAAACCCTTTGTATTACTTTCATAATGAACAGTGTTTCATTTATTCTCTTGGGTGTTCCTAATAACTGGTGTTAGCATCTGTAAATGATAATATTATGACTTAATTATTTCTTATGCTAAAGCCATATGTCATGTCATGTTTTCCCTAATATCATGGGCTAGCACTTCTGGAATCATGTGATGTAATAGCACTGATAGTGAGCAATCTTGTCCAAGTCCTAACTTTGAGAGTATTTTTATTTTCTCTATGAAGCTGAATGCTGGCTATTGCCTATTCCAGATATTTTATGACTGCTCTACCAAAGGAAATATCTTTCTCCTCCCTATTTTACAAGTTCTTAAAATTTTAAGTTAATACTCCCATTGAGTATTCTCAATAATTTTTTCAGCTCCTGTCAAGTGATCAAATTGTTTTTCTCCTTTGACCTCTTAAAGAAACAGTCAATGTCTGAGTGTTGAATCATTCTGTCTTGTAGAACTGGAACAGAGAGGCCCAGGAGGGCAGAGAGCTTGCTCAAGACCCAGTAGGAACTCAGGGTCTATGTAAGTCAGGGCACAGCTAAGCTATGATAAATATGCTTAATATCTCAAGAACTAAAAGTCAAAAAGTTTATTTTTCTGCTCAGGCAACATGCCCACCACAGGTCATCACAATCGTGTAGAAATGGAGCTAGTGGGAATGCTATCCAAACACACAAAGAAACAAGGAAAACAGAATAACATACACCTGGTTAGCTCGCAGGTCATTGGACAAAGCAAGTCCCTTCCAAGTTCAATGTGCCAGAGATGTTTATGAGCCCAGAGATGTGCTGTAACTACTTATGAGCTGTAATGAACTTTGCCATGCACACAAGGCAGTTCTCTGGGATTCTTTCCTTCCCACTGAGACTGTGGGTCAATAGAATGCAGTCAAAACTGTGGCCCAGCCCAAGCACACACTGGTCCCTCTCTTGGTTATTCCAGTGGACACAGCCTATGCTGAAGTCAGTTGTGGATACTCAGGGCTCCACCTACATGGACACTTCTGTGATGGCTGACTTCATCTTCCAGGAAGACATGAGTGGGTGTTATGATAGAAAATGAGGCTCGAGGGTAAGCAGGGCACTATTAAGAACTTACAGGCACACACCCCTGCGTGCACTGGCACATACACCCCCTCTCCCCACCCCCACCCCCACACTGGTGTTGGTACTGAGGACAAGAGTAGGATGGCAAGTACTTTGCCTGCAAATCTATGTAAATGAGCATGCACATATATCAGGACTGTGGAGATGGGGCAACCACACGTTTTCCAGGGATCCCCCTCCATTGACACCCTCTCCCTTACACCCGCAGGAAAACGCCTCTGTCTGGGTGAGAGCTTGGCCCGCTCAGAGCTCTTCTTCTTCTTGACCTCTCTGCTGCACAACTTTTCCTTGGGGTCTCCCAAGGCCCGGAAGACATCGACCTCACGCTGAGGGAGAAAGGGGCAACGCGACCACCCCCTGTGTTGCAGATCAGCTTCCTGCCCTGCAGGGGAGGGGGAAGACGAGCGGAGGTCCAGATCCCCTCGGAGTCTTTGCCTCCAGCCCCTTCCCTCTGTCCAGAATTAACGTGTGCAGGCTCCGAACTCCTCCCTGCTTACTCTCTCCTGTGCAAAGTCCCTTGTGTGGTCTCCCCATTATCTCCAACCTGCTGTAGTCACCTTCATCCCCAGATGGTCTGCACTATTAACTGAGGATATTTCAGGGTCAAGAAATACCTGCAATATCTTAGTGTCACCACCAAACCCCCAGCACAGTTAGGAAAACTGAGGCCCGAAAGGAGGACAAGATTTAGACCCAAGCTTACCCAGAACAGCAGCATCAGCACCAGGTCTCCTGCCTCCCTCCCCTTGTCTCCATCTGCTCTGCACACCCCTGCCCTCCTCCTCCTACCTTGAATTGACATGGCTAGTTCAGCCCTCAACTTCTATGCTGTATATCTTCCTCCCCTCTCTGATTTTATCCTCCAAAACCAGTGAGACCAAAATAAAGTTCTGTTCTTTCTGGCCAATGGCTATCTGTGCTCCCTTGCTCTCTGTCTTCCGTAAAATTCATGTATTGTAAAATTAACATTTAACCACTTTAAACAGTTTCTTGGCATTGAGTACAATCACTATGTTCTGCACCATCATCTTTTTCTTCCAAAACATTTTAATCACCCCAAAAGGAAACTTCATCCCCTTATCAAGTAACTCACCACTCTTCCATCCCTCTAGCCACCGGTATGTTTCTTTGTCTAGTCTGGAAGTTTCATATAAATGGAATCCTACTTCATGTGTATTACAAAGCATTCAGTTATAAAATACTTTATGAGGACTTCCCTGATGGCACAGTGGATGAGAATATTCCTGCCAACAGAGGGGACATGGGTTTGATGCCTGGTCTGGGAAACTTCTACACACCTCGGTGCAACTAAGCCCGTCCATCACAACTACTGAGCCTGTGTGCTACAACTACTGAAGTTCAAGTGCCCAAAGCCTGTCCACAGCAAGAGAAGCCACTGCAATGAGAAGCCTGGAAATTACAACCAGAGAGTAGCTCCAGCTCTCTGCAACTAGAGAAAGCTCACGTGCAGCAACAAAGACCCATCGAAACCCCAAATAATTAATTAATTAAATTATAAAAAATACTTTATAAGGGATGCAGTAATTTGCAGTTCAAATCACATTTTTATGTGTACAAAATACTTGATTATTTTGAAGGCATTATTAAAATAAGTTTATCTTTTCCAAATACGTGTCAGCATATCATGGATCTTAAAATGTCAAGAATTACAGCAAAGGTCCCTCTAGTCAAAGCTATAGTTTTTCCAGTAGTCATGTATGGATGTGAGAGTTGGACCATAAAGAAGGCTGAACGCTTAAGAATTGATGCTTTTGAATTGTGGTGTTGGAGAAGACTCTTGAGAGTACCTTGGACTGCAAGGAGATCCAACCAATCAATCTTAAAGGAAATCAGTCCTGAATTTTCATTGGAAGGACTGATGCTGAAGCTGAAGCTCCAATACTTTGGCCACCTAATGCAAAGAGCAGCCAACTCATTGGAGAAGACCCTGGTGCTGGGAAAGATTGAAGGCAGAAGGAGAAGGGGATGACAGAGGATGAGATAGTTGGATGGCATCACCAACTCGATGGACATGAGTTTGAGCAAGCTCTGGGAGATGGTGAAGGACAGGGAAGCTTGGCGTGCTGCAGCCCATGGGTCACAAAGAGTCAGAGACGACTGATCAACTGAAAAATGAACAGCAAACAACGAACAACAAGCACTGCCTTGTAGATATCCAACTGCGTTAAAAAATGACCAAATGCTTTACAATCTACAATCAATTTGCTGATTATCGAAACATCATACTTTATAATCTATGTAATTTATGGTATAATATTTAAAATCATTCTAGTGTTTGCAAAATACTTTAAAGTTTACAAAATATTCATTCATCCCAGAAACACTTATTGAGCCTCTGGTGTGTGCCAAGCATGTTCTAGGCTCCTAGGGTCAAATGCTTCAAAGTAGTTAAGACCATTTCTGTGGTGGTCATGCCCATCAAAAGCTATCCCATTTTGAATTATTTGATTTTTTTAAGTATTTAATTTTTAAAATTTTTGGCCACCCTGCGAGGCAAGTGGGATATTTTTTCCCTGACCGGGAATTGAACCCACGCCCCCTTGCAGTGGAAGTGTATTGTTTTATATACTGGACTGCCAGGGAGGTCACAAATTATTTTATAAAGAACAAATCCTATATTAATAAACCAGTTATCACTGACAAACACACTGCTGTCTACACATTACTTTGTTATTTAGTGAGCTCATACTCTACAATATGCAAGAGACTTTGTCTCTTGTAAATAATTTGATTATTCAAAAGCATACAGCAATTTACATCTTTCCAATTATAAAGCATTTTACAGTTTTAAGAGCACCTGATGATTACAAAAGAATTCAACTTGTATGGATCACTTCACATTAAAAAAAAAATTTGACTTTAGAAAACCTCTGTAATGTTTACCGAGTATATTGCAGTACACAGAACTTCTTGCTGTTTACAGAACATTTTGCACTTTTTAAAGTACTCCTAAATTTACAAAGCACTTTAACATTTACAAAGATTCTACTATGTACATAGGATACAGCATAGATAAATACTGGGTGGTTTACAAAGTATTTCATAACAGATAGCAATATTTCTGTCTACAAAATACCTTAGCAGAGTACATTGCTGCAAAGTGATTTTTCACTTTACAAAGTACATATGTCAATAAATCATTTGTATTGCTCACAAAGAAGTGGCCATTCACAAAGGGCTTTATTTCTGAAATGGAGCGGGACACTACGGTCATTCCCCACGATGTCCTAACTGCCTTTTGTCTGTGGAAAAAACTTTCGCCAAAGAACAAGTTTAATCAGAAAGTGAGAAAATGCAGAAGCAAAGAAAAGCAGTCAAACAGGATAAAACAATAATAGTTTAGTCATTAAGCAAAGTCAAGGACTTTTAGTTCCTGCTCAAGAGCTATAGATAACATTCTAAGCCATGTTCTGTGAACTGTGTTCCAAATACTAAAACCCCCACCGCGTGGAAGAAATTAACTACAAGACTGTAGCCATGACTTAAGCTGCCATGATTCCAAGAACAGACCTCAAGAAAAAGGGAACAAACTGACCCTGGAACTGAATTGCACTTGGAAGAATCAAGATGATGCTGGTCCAATCACTGATGACCAATTTCAAGATGACTATCAGAGGACTTCTCTGGTGGTACAGTAGGTAAGGATCCACCTGCCAATGCTGAAGATTCCACATGCTGTGGAGCAAGTAAGCTTGCGCGCCACAACTACTTAGCCTGTGTGCCTAAAGCCTATGTTCCAAATTAAGAGACGCCACCAGTGAGGGGCCTGTGTACCACAAGGAAGAATAGCACCCACTCGCCGCAACTAGAGAAAGCCCGTGCGGAGCAACGGAGACCCACACAACCAAAAATAAATAAATAAATGTAGTGTTAAAAAACCTTAAAAAAACAAATCAATAAAAGACTGTCAGAGCTGACTGTGTTTCTGCCTGCAGCCCCCTCTCTCAATCTATAAAAGCTCTTGCCCACAGATTGTTGAGAGGGAGGGGGACAAAAGTTTAGCCTCCCCCTACTCCCTGTTGCCAGCATGCAAAACAAAGCCAACTTTCCTTCCAACCAACTTTACTTCTCTATTGGCTTTTGAGCAGTGAGCAGCCAGACCCCACTTTCAGTTACATTTCTACCTACAGACACATGAAAACAGAACAGTAACTTGATGATAAATAGGACTTCCCTTTAGCTCAAATGGTAAAGACTCTGCCTGCAATGTAGGAGACCAGGGTTTGATCCCTGGGTCAGGAAGATCCTCTGGAGAAGGGAATGGCAATCCACTCCAGTATTCTTGCCTGGAGAATCACACAGATAAGAGAAGCCTGGCAAGCTACAGTCTGTGGGGTGGCAAAGAGACAGCTATGACTGAGCAACTAACACACACAACTTGATGACAGCAAAAATGTGTGAGACACTTAGGCATGCTGCTGAGCCTGGGATTAGGCAAGCAACCAGGGAGATGTCCCTGCCCTATTGGAACTGACACCAACTTGAGGAGAAAAGTAATAAGATGCTGGCAGCCAGTGATGAGAGCTATGACGAGAAGCCTAAATGGCTAGGATAGGAAGTAAATAAGTGGGGGAAGTTCATTTGGAGCAAAGCTTTTCAGTGACCGAGAGCTGAAAAACTCCTTTCCCAAGCAACTGGCCACGTATAACCTTCCTGCTGACACAGTCATCATGCTTGGCTCTTAAAATAACTTTGGGAGGTGAGCAGGTATCATAAACTAGTCTTGACTCTGGGAGATGTTATCTAGTCTATTTCAAACATTAGAAGACTGAGAACTAAGACATAAGGTAGACATCTAATGTCTTAAAGGAGACCAATTTGGAGCATTGGATTCAGGTTCCTTACCAAAATGAGCTAGAATTAAACATCCAAGGAGTGTCCACATAGGACTTCTATTTCCATGACACTTAATGTGCTCACTAAGTAGTGGGTATTTGGGACATGACTTTTGGTCCATTTAATTAGCCTGTGACCTAGAAATGAGGCAACTCTTTTTTTTTTCTTTTTTTGCTGTGCCACCTAGCATGCAGGATCTTAGTTCCCCAGCTAGGAATCAAGAGGAAGTGTGGAGTCTTAACAAGTGGACCACCAGGGAAGAACCAGAAATGACTCTTTACTACAAACGTTCCAACTCACTAGCTTTTCTAAGGGCTTCTTGGAAGGCTGCTTCTTGTCACTGAGGTTTTCTGAGACTTACCTCATCCAGAGAAGTGAAACCAGTCACCTCAGACTGGGACTTGAACCCGGTCAAAATCCAGTTTGGGACCTGAACCCCCACAGCAGGGACTCAAACCTGGCCAAAATCTGGTCTTCCACACATTTGATTTCAGGACTTAATGAAGCTCAGGTTCTTTGTGTCTCAGCGCAGAAGGAATTCAGCTAGAGGCAAGATGATAAGCAAGAAGTAGAATTATTAATATAGGACACCTGTAAGAGATGCAAGCAGGCAGGTGAGGGGGCTCTACCCCACAGATTAAGTGGGCTACAATTTAAAGTCAAAGGGAAAAAAAGGAAAAAAAAAATAAAGTCAAAGGAAAGTGGGAAGGGGAAAGGATTGCCTTCTTTGAATTGACATCAGGCTTACATCACTAGCTCCTTCTTCATGTTGGGCAGGAGAATGTCTGACCCTCCCAAGTCAAACTAGGATTATCATAGCACTTATTCAAATCAGTAGAAGGCTGGTGATATTTTTCTTTCACCTGATGACCTGGGACATGGATTATGCTTTTATTTATGGCTTTATAGTTAAGCAAGCCTGCTTCGTGCCATGACATTCTGATAGCTTTCTAGTGTGTGTGTGTGCACTTTGTCGCTCAGTCATGTCCAACTCTTTGCAACCCCATGGACTGTATCCATCCAAGCTCCTCTGTCCATGGAATTTTCCAGGCAAGAATACTGGAGCAGGTTGCCATTTCCTACTCCAGGGGATCTTCCCAACCCAAGGATTGAAACTGCATCTTTCAGATCTGCACTTTTGTGTCTGTACTAACAGGCAGATTCTTTACCCTGTGCCACTTGAGAAGCTTTCTTGAGGCTATCATTAACTTACAGTAGTCTTCCAGAATGTCCTAGGATTGACTGGTTTGATCTCTTTGCTGTCCAAGGGACTTTCAAGAGTCCTCCAACACCATAGTTGGGAAAAAAAAAAACTTCTCCAACACCATAGCTCTCAGTTCACACACTGCTATAGCCTAGCTTGAAGGATTTTGAGGATAACCTTGCTAAGATGTGAACTGTGTGCAACTGTATGGTATTTGAACATTCAGTTTGCTCAAGGACACCTGGGTTTTCTC